TAGGAGTATGTACCAAGATGGATTGTGTTCCACAGATACAGCTTTGAAGCTGAATCGGTGTACTGATAGAGGTTCTGTTTAGAAAGTGGTCACAGCTACCTGGTTTGCATGTGCCACGAAATTTGGATTAATGATTCGGGCGGAAGCGAGATGAGCAATAAATTCAATAAGGAATAAATGGTCATAATACGTCTAGGAGTATGTACCAAGATGGAATGTGTTCCACAGATACAGCTTTGAAGCCGATTCGGTGTACTGATAGAGGTTATGTTTAGAAAGTGGTCACAGCTACCTGGTTTGCATGTGCATGTTATAACGCGGTATTTATCGGACATAAGTGAAGTAGCAGTGGAGAATCCACTGGATAAGAGTGACCATTGGGTACTTAGGTTAGTATTACACAGGAAACACAGCAAGCCGGCTGCCTCACTTAAACGCTGCTATAGTCTTATAAACATTGCTGTTCTACAAGAGGCCGCAGAACACTTAGATCGGGTGCCACCAGCTCCCGAGCCAACGTTGGAAGAGCGATGGTCTGTCATTAAGGTAGGCCGCCTAGACTGACCGATAGGTTTGCGCCGTTCAAACTTAATGGCAATAAGCAACGACCAGCTTGGTGGAAACCACAGCTAGATCGGGCACTAGTAGTCCGGAGGAGATGCTGTTGAGTATCGGACTGCTGATGCGTGGTCGATCTACAAGAGGGCACGCAATAGAGCCCAATCCCTTCAAAGAGAGGCGAAAAAGGTGGCGCAAAACGTAAGGCGTCCCCCGAAAAGGTTGTATGCATATGTGCAGGAAAACAAAAACGCGAAAAAGGGAGTAGATACACTGGAGGTAACGGAAGGCGTAAAGGCCACCCCAGAGACCGTGAAAATACAAGTGCACTTCTTACGTTTTTCAAGGAAATTTATTGGCCACCTACATCAGGACAGGATGTAGACTGCAGCCCGGTTGTAACAAGGGAGCATTTCACGGAGTTCAACCTCTGTGAAATCGACGTGGTCCGAGAGCTCAACGCCTTAAAAAGGCATAAAAAATCAGGACCGGATAGATTGCATCCCGCCGTGATTCAGCCTCTAGCAAATGCATCAGCGGGACCGGTGACTAAGTTAATTAGGAAGATTTGAAGTTAGCTGGGGAAGGATTGGGACAGGATCTAAATGCAGTTCGAAGGTGGTCGGATAAGTGGGATCTACCACTGAATCTAGATAAGTGTCGGTTCTTGATAACAAGAGCCAATGATGAGACGAGAGGCGTGATGCATTTGCAGCATGTCTCTGAGGCAAAGGATCTAGGGGTGATGCATAGAACTGAATTCAGACCATTCCTGCAGTGCAAGAGTGCGGCTAACAAAGCTCGACACGAACTTTTCAGGTTTTACGCTGCTGTAAGTTGCAGAAGACCCGAGGTTTTTGTAACTTTGTATAAAACTATTGTGCATCTCCATTCAGAATATTGCGTACAAGCATATTTCAAACAGAATGAACGATGTCTTCATAACGAATGGTAGAACAGTAGCAGGCCAGAAAGGCAAGGAATATCTCCAGCGACTGAGAGACCTGAAGCTGACGATATTTACCCCTTGCGCGGTTTGAATTTATAAAGTCTTGATTCGTTTTGCCAAGTTAAAGTGGGATGTATCAGGATATTACATATCATCTTCACCTATTTTCACCGCTTTTTGTTTTGCTCGCGGGATATCGGAATATATTTTAAAGTACCAAACTCTGACTGGTTTTGACTAGTCATTGAGAAACGTATTGCTATTTAGAAGTTTTATAGGTTGTCCTTTCGGCACTTATTTTCCCACCGTCACAAGTCCCTTTTGCTCCTTTTTTGTTCCATTTTAACGAGTTGATAAAAGGGCACCCAGAAGTGACAAATGTGTAAGCAGTCAGTGTCAGAAACAGGTGCAAAGTGTTATCCTATGTTATAGGCGCCGGTAAATGTACCACCAATCTGCTGTACATTCTCATAGCAGGTGTGGCACATGCTAACCAGGTAGCAGTGTCCACTTTCTCAACCAATTTCATACCAGTACATGGATCCAGCCTCGAAGCTGCATCTGTGGAACACAACCTAATTTGGTACATACTTTTATAACGATCCAGCCTCGAAGCTGCATCTGTGGAACACAAACTAATTTGGTACATACTTTTATAAGACCAGCCTCGAAGCTGCATCTGTGGAACACAGCCTAATTTGGTACATACTTTTATAAGTATTTGACCCATCTCCTTTGGCATCCTGGCGCATACAAACCAGGTAGCTGTGACCAGTTTCCAAACGGAACGTCTACCAGTACACCAATTCAGCTTCAAATCTGTTTCTGTGTAACACATTCCACCTTGATACATAATCCTAGACCACTTATTCATCAGGAGAACTGTTCTTCACTTCGGTGTCGCCTGAGTGATTATGCCAAACTCCGTGGTTTACTTCCCTGCATGCCTTTCGGTTTTATAATCNTGACATGCTGTCTTTTTCCTTATCCCTTCTCAGCTGGGTATTACCCCAGACTGTTCATTATGACTCTTTTGTTCCAGATACGGTTTGCTTGGACCTGTCAAAGGCCTGGGGTTTAAGCCCACAGTGGAAAATTTTGGCCCTGGCAGTGGATGCTGGGCATGGTTGTTTCGACGGTTTTGTCTGCATGCGTCCGCATCCCGGCAAACGTATGAACTCACTGTACTCCCTCCTATTTATTCATATCCTTGTGACTCCGNCCATGAGAGCCGCACTCCGTTTCCCCACGATAACGGTGTAACAGTTACTTCAATTTCGATTGATATAATTATACAGCACATTCTTTCATCCTCCACACCAACGTTTGTGACCTCGTCCGCTTTGTGTTCTGTTTACACAGCGTTTTCGTTCTGCTCCCCTATCATCTCCAGTATGTACGTCTTCCAAGTATTTCATCTATCTACCTGTGCTGACGTTGTACATATGATTATTTTGAACACATGATCATGCCTTGTGCATGCCTCACGGGTTTCGTGAAATATACATTATTATTATTGTTATTATTATGCAATATCCAACTCTGAAATGGATATGCAGTCAATGCGTCCCTTTGGTGGAGGTGTTTTACCGCATAATAAAGGGAGCAGTGCTGAAAGGAGCAACCAAAACGTTGCCACTAGCTACAATTAGGACCTCCGCAGGAGGGAGTAAACAACCACAAAAAGCCCTTATCCAAAAAGTAAATAGTGTAGGGAAAACAACGCAAATCCAAAAGGCGAATCCAGTTAAGACGGCACTCATAGCCATTCTTACTGCCAAGATCGAGGCACTGGAGGACGAATTGGAAGCAATAAAGCAAACACAGCCAGTGCTTTTGTATAGAACAAAGCATGTATTGCTGCATATTATCCCGGGGCCTATCATACGGGATAGTAAGGTTAGACATAAATCCGATAGGAGGCATGTCTAAGATATGTTCAGGCTGGCAGGTCTTT